CGAATGGATGGGCATGCATACAAGCCTTCGTGATAATTTGCTCCGCCTTGGGGATAACTCCAACAATTCCTGTTTTCTAGCATTACAACCACGTCTGGCCGCTCGCCAAGCGAGGATGGGTGTTGTTGACCTCCGTGGGGAATAAGTGGTTATTTAAACTCTTTTGGGATTCTTTTAAAGGGTTTAAGACCAGATATTTTAAGATTACAATAAGAGAGTCCGATCGAACAGATTTTCATGATGAGACCGTCCTTCCCTTGTTTCCCTTTTATTGGACTAGGGAGTCTCGTAAAATAACGGTTTGTCCCAAAGACAATATGAGTCATATAGTCACGAACCTCATAAAGTACTTCGTCATAACCCGGGACAACTGAAAGATTCAACTCATCCTCTTCATTCGAAAAATCGACATCGATTTTTTTAGTTGAATCCTTCTCAATAGTCACATTGAGAGTTTTTTTTGTTTTTTTTCACGTTATGAACACTTATGACTACAATGTCAACTTGACTTTTAGAAGCAAACTAACTTTGACATCTAAAAATCTTGACAAGTCCCATCGATATTAAAAAATAAGAATTGAATTTGAATATAGGAAGTGAACAATTGCTCATTGAAAAGGAAACAATGGACTCACATATCGAAACATGGTTAAATTATAATGTTGTCTTTTAAAAAAAAAGACTATAAAAAATTCAAGGCTTTTTTGGAAAATAAAAAGTTTTGGTCCAATCTTCAATTTTGTGTGGTTTAATTTTTTTATATTTATGTTTTAATTAATCAAATTATTTTTGGAGGGTTTATTAAATGCAAGCTTGGACAGTCAAAAAGAAAAAAGGTACTCTGGAAAAGTAAAAAGGTAAAAAGAGCATAGTGTAAAAGAGATAGATATTCTTGTAATTTAAAATGTGTTGACGTGACTTTCTCCTTTATTCTCTGCATTATTCGTGTAAGGATCCGTCGAAACTCAATCTAAAAAATTAGTCTTCCAAAATCAGTGCAAATCACCTCATCCAAACAACATTGATACCTGCATTTCTTTTTTCAACTACAATAAATCAACTCAAATAAACACAACATTAATATTATAATTAGATAATCTCATAAGAAATTGAGTTATAAGATACCTGCATTTCTTTTTTTCAACTACAATAAATCAACTCAAATAAACACAACATTAATATTATAATTAGATAATCTCATGAGAAATTGAGTAATAAGGAGCAACTTAATAAAGAAAATGTTTAACCAGAAGATAAAGAAAACTAGTCTTAATATTTACACATTTTATGCCTATGATCTAATTTGATTGTTGGATATTCTCTAATTTGATTATTGAATTGGTATGTTGCATTTGTTGACTTGATTGACGTGTGAAATTGTTAATTTAATGTATTGGTGATATGCGAATGATTTGTTAACGTAGAAGATTAAACTTGTGGTATTCTTGGTTTCTAATAAGTCTTTAGTTTTGAAAAAATAAATAGATACACATACACTAAATTTCTAGTATTAAAAAAAGAATTTTTTCTTTTAGCATATATAATTTTTTATCAATTTTATTATTTGAATAAGCATTTTTTAAATTTAAGCATTTTTTAATATTAAAATAATTATCTATAATAAAAAATATACTCACAAAATAAATATAAATTATCTATAATTTATTTTCACAATTATAATAATTTTATTATTTTTTATTATCTGAAAAAATGAATATCATTAATATATAAATACAGGGAAAAAAATCGAAAATTAGTATAACAGTCACATCCTTAAAAAAAAGTGTAGTACAAGTAATAATCACTCAATAACTACTTTTAAACAAAAGATATAAAAACATTATAAAAAAATGTTAACATATAGAAAGACTCATCCGTTTATTTTTCTTTTTCTTAAGTAATTCTTTTAAAAATTAAAATAACTATTTTGTCAATTTATTATTTAAATGGTTATTTTTCAAATTTTATTTTTTCTTTTCGTTTGAATATTTTTGAAATTATTTATTTTTTAAACTAAAATAATTATCTATAATTAAAAAAATACTTACAAAGTAAATAAAAAAGGTATTTACAATAAAATTATAAAATTATTTATATTCACTTTTACAATTATAATTTTATTAATTTTTGTTGTCTATGAAAAAAATAATACATACGCGTGTTTTACTAATTGTTAATAAATATGGTCTTATTATCATTTTTAAAAATAATATATATTATTTTATGGAAGTTTTATGATAGGAGTCACACAAACAAGTCATTTCAATTTATTTTGTCTAGGTTCTGGGTCGTTCGATAACAAAATACATTACTTGTAATCAAAAAATTAGGTCAAAATCTTGACGCAAAAAGACTAATTAGTGGACTAGAGACTGACCTGTCAACTTTTTATATTATATATATATATATATATATATAGATAAACTAGAATGTAGTTGCGGAAAATGGACTATAACGAGAATATCATGTTGTCACGCACTAACTGTCATGACATTTTTAAACATTAATGGAGAAGACTACATCTCACATTAATTTACGAGGTCAACCTGTGAAGAAACATACATTACAGTGATATATCCTGTAAACGGTCATCATCTATGGCAAATGACTACAAATCCTGATGTTTTGCCTCCACTTAAAAGGGTTTTTTCTGGAAGACCAAAAAAGAAAAAAAGACTAGAGTCTTGATAGCTAAAGAAGGATGAAACACAACTAAGACAAGGTGGAACTCGTAAGAGGTGTAAGATATGTAGACAACTTGGACATAAAATAACTAGTTGCCCACAAGCAACTCAAACATAACACCGACCAACTAAAACAAACCCAACTCCATGTCAATCAAGTCAGATTACTCAATGTCAGCTTTAAGAACCCCAACAAAGTCAGCCAACTCCAACAGTAGTTTAGAAGTCATGAAACGTTATTAATGTGCATATTGGTGCCTATTTGGAAGCCATATAAATTGAAACTTCAATATGTATTATGTACTTTATTTTGGTTATGAACTTATTATATTGTTTTGTCTTTATTTTGGTTAAGACCTTTTTATATTATTTTGTGTTTTCTATTGAAGAACAATGTTCTTTGTTGAATGTATATTGACATGAATATCATGCACATTTAAAGCATGATTTCAATGTATATTGAAATGAATATCACTTTTATTAAAAGGAGAATTTATGATTTTATTGTATATTGAATCTGATTTAAAGCAAAATATCACTTATATCATAAATATCATTTATATTGCATATTGTATATTCAAAGCATAATTTCATATTTTTGATTCATTTAATAACATCACATTACAACATCAGATATATCGAACTTAGTAATGACATGTTACTAATACAACATTTCATGGAATTTTAAACAAAATACAAAAATGATGGTGTTAATCAACCCCATAAAACATAACATCCACATTAACAACTTCTCTCATTTATGAGAAATCATAACTGATTTTTCCAGACTAGTAATATTTCTCCTTCGCTTAGCAATAGCAGTATCCCGTTCATCCACATTATCTTCATTGTGCCACTTAAAAGATTTGCATCATTTAAATCATTCATTTTGACTCTACTGTTCAAAAAGTTTAACCATAACAAACATTTCATTAACTACCAAATAAATTTACCACAAATGAAAAAGTAAAATCACACATCAAACCTTGTAATTAAGGCAACCCTAAAATTGTTTCCCCTCGTGTAACAATTTTTGCCACTCTCAAGACAACACTCTCTCTACAATGACATATTTGTGTTCCAACCAATCCTCTAGATGAACCACCACGAGAGGTCCCCCATGAACAAGACGAACAACACTAATTCTATGACATTGCCACTTCCTAAGTCAACGTGCAAGGACAGAACAAGACTTCGTGAAGCAACTCCAAACCAGAGAGTAGACTACACTTCTTCAACGAACTCCCAATGAAAGAAGAATAAGACTTTGTCAACCAACTTGCAAGGAGGGAAGAACATTTTGTGAACCAAGACCCACCATGCAACTCGCAACACAAAATAGTAACCTCCAAACCCTAAAGCTCCAAACTTTACTTGGGGTTCATATTTCATTTAGGGCAATTATGTATAAGTTTCTCCTTTGTATACAACTATCAAGAACATCGTTGCTGAGTAAATTTAAACAACTTTACTCCTTTCAAATGTATTTTGTTACGCTACCATAATGTGTTGTTGCGTTACCATAATGTGTTGCTACGTTACCATACAATTAACACCGTTTATGTAAAATTAACGAAATAAACTTAATTGATGCACATTACACTTACACAAAGTGTGAACTAAGTTGACATTTTTTTTAAAAGTAAAGACCAAATAAACACTATCATAAAAATGAGGATGAAGACAACAATTAAACTTTTAACTTTTAAACATAATTATCTACTGGGTCTCTCCTACTCCTAAACTAAATATAGCCTATATTAGATTACTGTAGGTGGGACCACGGTTAAAAATTGAAGGTAAAAAATTGAACTTATTTAATCACATTAAATCAATTAAATTCAACTAATAAATATTGGTTTAAAAACAACTTAATCTATTTAATTAATATTATTTTATATTTTTAAAAATCATAAATTTAGACTAAAAAACAGTAAAAGAATCAGTTTAATAAATTATTTTTGGTTAAAAAAGTCAAATTCTATAAATAGATAAAAAATGTGTACATGTTTTAGAAATTAGTACTTCTTCTACTGTAATATATTTCATCACTACTTATTATAATAGAAATGTTAGACATATAAATTAATAATAAAAAAACTGTTAGAATTTTGTATTAATACGTCGTACTCAAGATTCTTATATTACCTGTTCTAATTATGGTGATTATCTATGAAATACATTATCACTTCTAAAATAGACAAAAAAAAAAATTATGCAATTATAAAAGTAGGGCTTGGAAATATTTAATTTGAAATCACCTAAGCAAGTAGTGGGAATATCAACCATAGGAAGTAGCATCAATGTGTGAATTTCTTAGGGACTCTACAAAAAGAACAAGATTAACCTTATTTCTCTTATCATTTTTTCACCTTAGCTGGAGAATATATTTGAGAGATTAAGAATGAATATAAACTTTATAAGTATATGTATAGATGATTTGATGATTAATTTTGTGATTATTATATCAGAACAAAATTAGTTCTTCACTGAATATAATTGAACAAATTTTGAAAAGGTGCAGAAGAGGAATTCGGTGTAGAAGGGTAAAGGAAGGTTGGAATGTAATTTGGTGGGTGCAAAGGGCAAGGGAAATAGAGAGCGAGTGTGTGCGTGTGTGAGAGAGATGGACCTGCTGGAATTGGAGGCGGTGGAAGGGCTCCGGTGGACGTGGAATTCGTGGGCGGCGGAGGGGACGAATCTGGTGATCCCTCTGAGCATAATGTGTAGTCCATTGATGGTGAGTGAGGTCCCTATCCTCCCATACCACCCTCTTCTCTGTTCGGGATGCGCCGCCGTTTTGAACCCCTACGCACGCCTCGACTACCAGTCCCGCATCTGGCACTGCCCCTTCTGCTTCCTCCGCAACCCCTTTCCCCGCCCCATCGCCGACACCAACCTCCCTGCCGAACTCTTCCCCACCTACAGCACCGTCGAGTACTCTCCTTCTCTCCCCTCCTCCTCTCCCCCTCCCCCTCCCCCCGCCTTCGTCTTTCTCATCGATCTTTCCTCCCCCGACGACCAACTGCTCTCCCTCAAGAAGGACCTCCTCCTCCTCC